GCCAAACCCAGGAAAATCAATAAGGGACGTGCCTTTGCATGCTACACTCACTGCTTTTTTTTTTTTTTTTTTTTTTTTTTTTGGCCAAACTCTCCCTGCCTCATCCACAGGTGCAGATGGAAGAGGAGGAAAGCAAGGCCTTTTTAGATTCCCACAATGAATGCACACAGGGAAGTCTTTGGGACAGATAATGTAATAATACAGAGTGAGATCTTTCAGGAGAACAACACTGGAAATGTTCCAATGTACACGTGGACGTCAAACTCTCCCTTTTTCCTCCCCTGAAATGAATTGCTCCAGATGTGAGTAATTATTTTGGCTGGCTCTGAATACCATTTCTGTGCATTTTGATGTGCAGATATTTTACATGTCCCAGAGCAGAGCAAGTGCAAATCCCCAGCTTTGCAAACCCCTCTCCCCTTTGCAGGAGGCTGTGAGATGACAACACCCTGATCCTGGGGGAAGGAACATCTGCAGAACTCCTGCCCAGCAGGTCTTAAATGTGCTGAAATAAGTATGTTCCTCACAACTTCAGTTCAAATTTCCTTCCATCTGTCTCCATTTTCACTCCACAGGCAGGGGAATGACACTTCTCTGCCCTCATGATTCCCTCCTCAGCTGAGAGGACCTTCCTGCTCTCTCTTTGACCTTCTTGTCTCCCCTGATATGTCATTAAACCCAGCTCCACTTTTTCCTCAGAGAACTTTTCTAACATTTTATGTGACACTTCCTTTTAAATTCTCCTCACCCAATGCTTAAAATGCCTTAAAAATACCTTAAAATCTCCTAAAAAACCTACATTTTCCCTGTGTCCTGCTTTCCTACCATTCCATCCTCCTCTGAGAGGTGTTTACTGTAAGCAACAAATTAGGTGACATGGAGTGGGATCTGACAGGAATGTTCTGGTGATTCATCCAGAGTGGAATCTGGGAGCCCCATTCCAGGAATGTGGAGAAAATTAAGGAAAGCCCCAGAGAAAGAGGGTTCAAGAGAGATGTGGTCCCACAGAGCCATGAAATCCTCTGGGTTGCTGGGGTTTAGTTGGGATTGGGCAGGAATTGCTGGCTGGGAGGGTGGGCAGGCCCTGGCACAGGTTGGGCAGAGAAGCTGTGGCTGCCCCTGGATCCCTGGAAGTGTCCAAGGCCAGGTTGGAGCAGCCTGGGCTGGTGGAAGGTGTCCCTGCCCATGGCAGGGGTGGCACTGGGTGAGCTTTCAGGTCCCTTCCTGAAAGGAAAGTCCAAACCAGTCTGGAATTCTATGAAATGAAGGGTTGAAGGAAAGTTCTAAAATTATCTCAGTCAAGTCCTGCTCACCTGAGCTGGTCAAGGCAGAGACTTCTCTCCCTCTCCAATCTTCACTTTCTGCCAGCCAGGGAAATCTTTTCCTCTTGCTGGAACTCTGAATCCCCTAATTACTCCCAGCAGAACGATTTGTCTTTAGGGGAAACCCCCAGTTTGCCCCCTGCTCTCACCAGCCTCCTTTGCCCTCTAAAAACTGTCATCATTAAGCACAACCTTCATGTTGCTTTCCACAACCACCTGCCAAAAACACAGAAGTGGGGCCAGAGCACTCTGTGTCTTTGAAGAAGCATAAAATGTCCTTAAAAGTAGGGTCTGTAGTAAGAGACTTGAACAATTTCCACACAAAACAGAAGGTCGGGGCTTGGAGCACCCTGGGCTGGTGGGAGATGTCCCTGCCCACGGCAGGGGGTGGGATGAGATGGGATTTAAGTCCCTTCCGACCCAAACCAGGCTGCCATTCCCTGGAAATTCAACAACTCTAAACCTGCTGTGAATGAAATCTTCCCCACGTTGTCCCTGGATTGTGTCTGAAGCAGCAGCCCTGCACAGATCAGGTGCAGAGGGAGAGATGTCAGCATCCTTAACACTGCAGCAATTTAGGGATCAGATACAGGGAACGGTGTTGATGGAATCAGGAGCAGATCCCACCGCACTGGCAGTGTTTGCAGTGCATTAGAAGATTAAAACAGAGATCAAGAGCAGCTGATTTTTCCAGCTCAGAACTCCACTCCCACCTGGAAAACCTCCTGTCCTCTTTCCACCAGCACCTCCTCACAGCCACATCCTCCACCACTGCCAAACAAAAACCAGCAAACCCCAGTAAAAAAAATTACATTGCCAAGTCAAATAACTACCCACCACAAACAGTCTGCTGGGGGACAGCACTGGTGGGTGTAAATCAAAACAAGGATTTTAATTATCACCCCTGTTCCGGGGGGAAGGGCTGCAATAACGTGTGTCCGAACGGATCGCTGGGTTCCAAACCACCCCGGCTCGAAATGTGGCTTCAGAGGCACGAAAGGGGAATGTTTTGATGAGCCTGACACAGAGTGTTGTCAAGGAAATTAGAGCAAAGGAACTCCAGTTAATTATATAAATAGATAATTAAAATTAAATTAAAATTAAGCAGGGGAAAAAAGCAAAAAAAAAAAAAAAAAAAAAAAAAAAAAAAAAAAAAAAAAAAAAAAAAAAAAAAAAAAAAAAAAAAAAAAAAAAAAAAAAAAAAAAAAAAAAAAAAAAAAAAAAAAAAAAAAAAAAAAAAAA